GTTTTAAAAGTAACAGGAATTAAGGTAGATTTTCATTCCATTCGCATATTTGATATTTCATCATAGCCCCTCTCAGCTTATAGGGTATTAGGAATTAGCAAAATTATTGCTTTTGGCTAAATCATCATAATGATCGTAATGATCATGAAAAACTGATGCTTAAATTGACATTTGAGTTTGTCTCGATGGCTGTTGTATTATTCCAGCTGGTAATTTATTTCACTTTTATTTTTGTTTATTTTTTTTGGTTAGGGGTGTGTTGACTTAGGTTGAGGTCACCATGCCTGCATGCCAGGAAATGTGGTCAGAGTTATAAAAATATTGCGTATACGCAGCGTCTAACAAAGGAAACCCAAAAAGGGGTTGTTCGCAAGTTGTTGTTGTTGTTGTTGTCGTCGTCGTTGTTGTTGATATTGTTGTTGTTTTTGGCAACGAAAAGTCCACAATGTGGAAATGAATGAAATGGAACTTCAGCAATCAAGTGAGCATTGCGTAATCGAAAACGAAGCCATGAAAGATGACAATGGCGACGACGTAGACAACGACTGCGATGACTATAAGACAATGTAGTTCTCTGTATATATATGCCCTGTAATGGGGTATATTAGCTAGCAGAGAGGTCAGTCATACATGTGTATTTAATATTTATCAATTGAGGCGTTCGACAGATGTCTATCAACAGTTGGTTGAGCGAATAGCTTTGAATACCTACATCTATCTATATAAATGGAGCAATCTCTGAGTTCGGAAAGAGTAGAGCTATCTAATTTGGTATGCGTGCTCCTAAGATAACATGACAACAATAAATTTACATATTATAAATAATAATGCAATAAAACATATTCAAATTTTAGCTACTTGTATAAATTAAAATATATTATATGTGAATCATCCAGGGTATTTCGTTGTCTAAGAACGGTATGCCACATGTTTAACTTATGCAAAACAAAAATAGAATAAGAAAGCCAAGCTGAATGAATGAATAGCAAGGCAGAAAACGAGGGAGATGGAGAGAATGTAAGAGAGAGACAGAGACAGGCACAATCAATAGAATTGAGCAAAATCAATGGACAATTCAGGTGATACGAGTAGGAATTGTTGATTTAAATGCTGCTAGAAGAGGCATGTTGCACAGTTCAATTGATGCAATGACCCTGGCGTACCTGTATCGTACACCCTATACTATGTATCTCCATCTATATGTATGTAAATTCCAACAAGTTCAAGCGAAATTATTGGAAAAGCAATTTGATGAGGCGACTTTCGTTGGGGTTTATCGCGAGCTATTCAAAAGGCCATTTGATTGACGAAGGCTATTTCGGACGTTAAGGACACTCACATACAGCATGGCATTGGACTATTGCTTCGGCTTTTCGCTATTCCACAATCAACTTGTGCCTGGCTTTATCTAGCAGGAAGACGTTGCCAAAACACAAATTTGGGCGCCTGATTATTGTGTATGTTGGAGATAAACATCGCATGCTCTACACGAGTTTATATATGAATTAATTTCGGGGGTTGTTTGTGTGGACGCGTGTTCATATGTTGATTTTTATGGGCTCTGCCAAACATGTTAATGATAGCACTTACAATTTGGGAGAACTGAACTAGTTTGCCAGTCTGGGCATGAGAAGGAATTCTTGTAAGAATAATCGATTTTTGGTTTTGAGAAAAACCGCTAAACGCTCGATTACATTGATGGTTTCGAAAGTTTTCTTGGAAACTTGTTTAAATAATAAAGAATTATTTTGGTTCCTTGCTTGGGTCGATGCTTTGAAAGATTAAAATCATATGCAAACTTAAATTCATTCACTTTTTTTTTTATTATTGTTATTATTAATTTCTTCCATTTGTTTTGATTCAATTATGCATTCATTTTTATTATTTTAATATTTATCACTAAAAATGTTATGTTAAATAAAATAATACCTTTGAACAAGTTCTATTTAATGCTATATATTATAAGTTCGTATTAAATATCAGTTAACAGCGCACTTAACATTTTTCTCTGAACCTTGAGCAAAGTCGATGTCAATTTAAAAATACCAGAATAACTAGCTCACAAATGAACTGCGATTAAAATTCTTAGTTAGACCTTCAGCTAAATCACTTTCACTTTGACCTTACCAACTGTTATATAACGCTACAAATTCTCCCTTAAAATAAAACTGCTAAAACAGAGCGCATGCGTAGCCTTGAATGGACTTCTTATATACAATTTGCATATGAATGTGGAGAGGTTTGCGATTAAAGATAGGAATGTTATGTCGAGGTTTCTGATATGTTGATAAATATGTATCAGAATTTAGTCAAACAATTGAAAATCAAACGAAAAAACTGGAATTTCGAGCAATAAAAATGAATTTTCGTTACCTTTTGATAAATATATTCCCGTTATTAAAGGCAATTTCTAGATTGTTTTTGTTTTCCATGAATGAAATTTTTGTTGCTTGCTCCACACGACGAACGGGAATAGAAACGAGTAGGCGAAATAGGCGCGAAGCAGTTAGAGAACTGCCAAAGTAACTGTAGTGTGAAGGAGGGGTGGGGGCAAGTTGTATATGTGTTTCGAGATAATATGGAGCAAGGGGGAAGCACAAGGGGGAGCTGGCTGCACGCACGTTTAATTACTGCAACACAGACACACACACACGCACGTACACTGAGCGAGAATGTGTGTGGAGGAGACCGAGAGCAAGAGAGGGATAGAGAGAGAGAGCGCGAAGAGCGAACGCGTGAGAGTGGAAACGGACGCCTGGTCGAGTTTTAGGGCTGAGACGTTTGCTAATGAATTTTGATTGCGATACGTACGTTTTATAATATTAACAAAAAGATTGCACTGCTCTAATTATATATAATTTGATTTTTTATTTTTATTTGTATTTTTTGTATTTTATGTAACACAAATTACTTTGCACTTTGCTTTTTATTTGGTATTTTTTGATTTGATGTAAGCAACTGCGTTGCACACTTGCGAAGTCCGACGAAGACTGACGATGGCAGCGACGACAACTTCCGCATTTGCCAGTAATACCAATGAAAAATACGCACACACACACACCCTCATACACAGAGGCGAGCTGCTTCTGCTTGCTGCACGGGCGCGAGATAAGACGCGGCAGCGTTAACTAGCGAATTTTTTATTTATTTTTTTGTGTTTTGTTATTTGAAATCCAAATTTATTTATATTTATCTATAAATTATTTTTTGTTCACTTATTCACACAGAATTGCTTTGCCTGTGTGTTGTTTGTTGGTTAGAAAGAAGCCAAAGTATAGATTGACAGCCGCAGCAGCACTCTGAGGGTAGCTTTTTTGTGTTTTACCCGTTTGGCGCGTTCATCGGTCATGCAGATGAGCGCAAGCAGCAGCAGCAACACAGACACACACATACACAAGCGCTCTCTCTCTCTCGCTGCAAGTTCATTTCTGCCACGTGAGCGAGAGCGTGAGAGCGCCAGAGCGAGCGCGCGCAAAAGTTTATGTTGCAATTGCCTTTGATTAGGCAAAAGCGACAAGGCAATGTGCGTGTGCATGTGTGATTATGTGTGTGTGTGGGTGGGTGGTTGCCCGTCCCAAGCAGTGCTGCTACACAAACTAATTAGCCCATGCCACTAGGCTCCGCGCTCTCTCGCGCACGTATACACACATATAAATACAGAGAGCACGTTAAACGATTTACTACATAGGCACACACACATGCTATGCTAAACTGCTGCAAAAGGCGCCTGCGCATTCATATGTTTAGCATAAATACAAATACCAACAAATGTGGCTGGGTCATCGCTGCTAAACAAGTGGTGAACTATGGTAAGGTTGTATGAGTGGTGAACTGGCAGCAATCATAACAATAGACAGACAACTAGCGAAACAGACAGAGCGTGAGAGAGGGTGTGCGTGTGTGTGTGTATATGTGCTAGCTGCTGCTGCCTTGCAGAAATGAACGCTGCACGCTTTGAGAGCGTGAAAGAGCAGTGAATTATTAGTGTACCTCTCTCTCTCTCTCTGGCGCTCATTGTCCTAATTTTGATTGGGTCGTTGTCGATGGTTCGCTGACTGTCTAACTAATTACGCCAATTTATAAATAATCAACGAGGCGCACAATTTTAAGGACCTTGTGCGAGGACCACAAAACAGAAAAGAAATGACAAAACAAATAATAAATGTAAATATTTAATCACAGTCACTGGGCTCGAGGCTCTGCCTAATCAATGTCGTAAGCCACGAGTTAAGTTACTCCTGGGAAGGACACTGAACGCGAAACAACGGCACAGGCTAAGGACACTCGTCCACTTGTCTGCTTCTTCATCCTTTTACTTGAGTGAACTATGTTAATTGCATGTGTTTCCTTGCATCTGCTGCTGCTCTCCTTAACCGACTATCTGTCCCTCCATCTCTCTCTCCCTCTCTCACTCTGTGTTTGGCAGAACTGGCACATGACCTACATAGGTCGCAAAACATAAACAAAAGTACGTGTACAGATGGTTTGGACAGTTGGACAATTGTTAAAACACTTTAATCAGTTATTGTTGTATATCGCAAAAATATATATGGGAGATTCTATGTGATATATGCATATTAGCTTATTTATGTTTTGACGGTATACAATTTAATGCAGCGCATTCCTCTGAAATTCTTATTGGAATTCAATTGTTAAACTCTATATGAGAGTTAGATGATGTTAGCAGCAGAGTTATATTAAGTTCTCTGAAGAAAGGTTCTAGCAACGTTACATTAACAAATTAAATAAAATCATATACTTTCTTTTAATATATTTTAGAGCAAAATATTTTTAATTTTTCGTTAAGACCGTTTAATTTGATATATTTTTATTTCAATAGGAATGTTAATCAATCGTAAATTTCATGTATACTTTATATATTGTTGTATATATTCTATCAGTTGTATATCCCCACATTCTATTTCATATAATTTATACTTATTACTTACAATTATCTATTTAATTATATTATGACACATGAGTCACGAACATACCTGCAATGAAACAAGAATTGAAATAGATTTAATAAGCAGACGAAGTTAGATTTTTTTTTTTTTAATTAAGCCAATAAATTTTTTAATTGTACAAACAGAAAAGCCCCTCAATATACAACCGACTTGATACGATCATATACATATATAATACTTTTATTATATTTATATTATGGGTCATACAATATTTTTAGCACAATTGCCAATTTCTGAAGTAGCTAGAGACATATAATACATTTCGTGAACCATTTGTATGGCTAAAGAGAGCCCTGATAAGATTAGGCATGGATCGTTGGTGCTTGCGGTCTTTATTAATGACAATGCATATTGAAAATTGAAGAGCTATGAACGAAGAGAGAGAGAGAGAGTAAAAGAGCGAGAGAGAAAACCAACTTTAAAACAGGTTGACTGTAATTTTCCATATGGCCCTCATAATGTATTACAATCGAACCAGTTCTGTAAAAGGTCGAACAGATAAGCGTTTCATCAATGGAAAAGTTTTAATCAACTTTATAGAAATGTATTAAATGGAGTGAAATGGGGTATATAAATAAGTATATTTACACCTATTGAAATAAAACATTAGTTAGGTTTGGTTTTAAAACATTTACCTATTCAAAATCTGACACACACAAATATTTTCAGTCTAGTTTTAGCATCTCAGACAAAAGTATATATCTATATATATATATCTTGGAAAACGGTTTTAACAAAATTTTTATAAATTATCATTTTTGGAACATCTCTCTTGGCGATTCAGTATTTTAAATTTCAAAATCCTTGAAAAAACTGCCATTTAGAACTGACACACATTATATCAGGCTTCTGTCTTATTAAGAGATTGGGAAGAAAAAGCTATATTATTCTAAGCTCTTAGTTTTAAAGCACCTCTCTATACGATTCGGTGACAGCTTTAACAGTTGCATTGCACGGTAAATCAAAGCTCAGCTTCTCACTGATAAGTGCGTTCTTAAAGCTTCGATTAGTTCTGTTAGAATTGTGCTTGTTCATGCGGAATGCAGCAACGCGCAAAACCAACATTTGCCCCGGGGTCAATGAAATAAAACGCAATTGCTGTACCCTCCACCAGCACCAGCGCCAGCTCAAATTGCAAAGGTAAGCGGAATTATAAGCGCTGTAGAGAGAGCGAGATTGATTGAGAGAGCAGCAACAGCACCGATCGGAGCGTAAGAAAAAGCGCCGAGTGCTGAACGAGAGAGGCTGATTGACGCTTACCAACAAACATACACACACACGCGCACGCTAGCTCACACACACACATAAACACTCACACATAAGAAGGCAAACAAACCGGCGATGCGAAGCAAAGCAAAGGCAGTGAAGGCAGCAGACATTCGAAGCGGTTAGCCGTTCAGTGTGACAGTGAACGTCGTACGGTCGTTGTGTTATGGCAGCAGACGCAACAGAAGCAAAAACCCAAAACAGAAATAACAGCAACAAGCAACCGTAATAGTTGTGTGGAAAAAAGGCTAGTAAACAGCGTATAAACTGTGTGACAATAGCAACAACAGCAGCTACACGGCAGCAACAGCATCAACAGCAAAGGCAACTGCAACTACCACTACAAGTGCAAGCACAGCAACAAGTTGTCCACCACCTGAGATCTATATTCAACACAAAAACAAAAACAAAATAGAATACAGAGCAAAGAGGAGGCAGCAACTACAGCGCAAATATGTTTGAGGTGGCCTGCCTAATGTTCATTTGCCCTTGGCTCATCATCGTCTTGCTCATGTTCATCGCCATGACCGTTCTATAAACAACAGCAACAACAACAGCTACAGCAGCTGAAGAGAATGTGAGTGAATGAGTGCTGAGCGTGCTCAATAACGAAGCAGAAAAAAAAAAAAATAGGGCACACTTGCCAAAAGCAGCAGCAAATGAATGTTTCAACACTTTTGGCAGTGTGCCCGTTCGTTCGTTGGTTGCTTCTCTCGGTTCATTGATGCTTGATTCCTTCTATGCAAAGACAAAATCGCAAATGTGAAACATGAAAAACAGAAGAAGAAGAGTGAAAAACAACCTCTTCGAAAGAGGGATTATATTGTGATTTTAATTATAAACGTAATTGTAATTAGATGTAAGCAATATTTGTACTTACATTTACACACAATTACACATACATAATCGACAATTTATTTTATATATGTTTCCTAAATAGTTAAGCTATATTTTATGGAAAATAAATGTGTTGATCAAATATAAACAAAGGGTTTGACAATTCCAAAGAGAAATATAATTAGTTAATAGATTAGTATATTTTTTAATAAACTTTAGAAGCAGCAAACGAGGGGAGAGAGGGAAAAACATTCAAAATTGATCAGGCTGGGCAGCATTTTATATCTTGAGATTTTTTGCATTTTTTTTTATTTTTTTTTTTAAATTAAGGAAATGAATATATTTTTATTTTTTTAATTATCAAATTAAAAAATATATAATTTTCTTTAAAACCCAATAACAACAAGTAAGAAGGCTCCAGTCGAGACTGCTCGACTAGGAGATACCCTGAACCCTCCAAGCTGATATTCTAATCATTCTGCACTTATTCTATGTACACATACATACACATGCACTTATAAGCACGCGCTCTGCTAACTGCGCTGTAAGCAGCGGCTGCGCTTGGGCTGCGCTGCAGTGTGGGCAATATTATGACAATTTATTTGTTGAATAATTTCTTTTGTAGACATACGATCCTAATGAAACTTTTAGAGCGTAATAATATGGCTAAAATGTGCGTACATTCCAAAGCACAAGTCTCTAGTACTTGAAATGCGTTTTTTACAAATTGGGGGCGAAGGGGGCGTGGTATCCAAAATCTGTAAATTACAAAATCTTTGTGTCCATTAACTCTATATACAACGCTAATTTGAAGTCTCCAGGTCTAAAAGTGTTCAAACTAGGCTGAAAAAACCAAGTCGATTTTTCGATTATTCTCGATAAAAAAGTTATCGGATGAGTTATCGAAAAAATAAAGCAAACTCGTACTGCCTATGGTATACACGAGTATGCATGCCAAATTTCAGCTCTCTAGCTCTTATATCTTCTGAGATCCTTTTGCTCATACGGACGGACGGACGGACGGACGGACGGACGGACGGACGGACGGACGGACGGACAGACGGACAGGGCTATATCGACTCAGCTCGTCGTCCTGATCAAGAATATATATACTTTATGGGGTCTGCGATGATTCCTTCTGCCTGTTACATACTTTTCACAAAACCATTATACCCTGATTTCCCATTTTCAATGGGTTCAGGGTATAATAAACATTATTTTTATGATTCTTAAATGACTTTTACTTCATTCATTCTTTTGACCACATATAACACGTTTTACAACTTGAATATTATTATTAAAATTTTTCTGGCTTGAATCTTGTTTAAATTAGCAATTCAAGCTTGGGGCCAAGCCTTAAAAATACAATAAATTATTGCTGATATATTAAGTTTCAATATAATCGAATATATAATTCAATATAATCGAATAATAATATAATACAGACTTCTCTCTAATAAAAAGCTCTATTATCAGATAAGAATACCTTTATTAAGAGTAGGCTGCCGAATAAGTTTCCTCAGCATAAAGTCCACACTTTGAGTCATATTTACCCATGCATAAAACACGGTTCTTGAAAATAACACATAGAGAGACAAAAGGTCTGAAGGCTTATCTGCAATTGCACTATCTATACATTTGATAAGCATAATTATCAATGGTAAATTTCAAAATTGGAGATAAAAGTGGAAGTCACAGAAATTTTGTCAGTTCTAGCTTTAGACAAGCTTCACTGTAGCAACAAATTGCAGGCGTTTGCTTTTTTAGTACATTTTTAATTTCCAAGAATTAAAAACGACCGACAAAACAGAATTGCTGTGAAAAGAAACATCTTAAGCATAAATCTAAAGAACGCCCACGCTAATATTTATTTAGGATACAATATAAGAAAGAGGGAGGCACGGGAAGTTAGGGTGGCTGAGTGTGTTCAGGCCTACGCAATTTCCAAAAACAAAATAAATCATCTTTAAAAAACACAAAGATTGAAAAATTATTTCAAAGTATATATATATATATATATATATATATATATATATATATATATATATATATACTTTATGGATAAGAATGGAAAAATAATGATATTTGTAAAGTCAAAGACTAAATAACCTAAATATATATAGTATTGTGTATACAGTAGAATCTCAATTCCTACGCGGCTAAATCGATAATGCCGATAAATCGAAAAAAATTCTATTCCCTGAAAAGAAATTCGTTCTCAATAATTCTCGAAAAAAAACTGATCCCCTTGGCATTTCAAATTATCGGGATTCTACTGTATAAGACTACGATACTTTCACTAATATTCCATTAATTAATATATACATGTATAACACATCTAAATATTTACATATATAAATATTTTCTATATACTCATGTATCTTCATATCATATACCATATTCCATATACTCCATTCCTAAACCGTATATTCATATGATGAATTAGTTCAGTTAAGTGATGATTTGATGCACTAGTTCATTAAGTTCAAGAGTTCATGAACAATATAATTTAGTTAAATTTCTTTCAAAAATTGGCGAATATTTCAAATCTATTTTAAATGAACAAACTTTTCAAGTTAGAGCATATATTGGTTAGGATACATATGCAATATACCCTTGCCAAATAATATGATTTCTTTTTGGGCGTTGCCACCTGTTGACAATCACAATTGTCATTTGACTGTGCCTCGCAGGCATTGTTAATCAACCTCAAATCACAATATTTGCAGCTTTTGCTTACGAAAGTGAAAGTCGAATATGATTACAGATATGCATATATATATATATATATACACACACACACACACATACACACTCACATGAAAATATATAGGTAGAAACGGGGAATATTTTGCATGCAGCATGGTAATTTTTGTTGTAGTTTTTTCTTGCTGTTTTTGCCCCTGGGTCTACGTAGCGACGTGTCAATGACAAAGTTAATCCAAATTGAAATTAATTGTGTAAAACTACCAAAAATAAAAGAAATAGCGACGTAAAACTCAACAGCCAAACAAGTTTTGTTTGTATGCATGTAAAGCGTTGCCAGACCATAAAAACCCAACAGATTAATTAAAATCGTTAAAAAAAAAAAGAAGAAATAATAAAAATCAAAACAAATCTGCCTGAGTTTTATTTTTGTATGCGCTTTGTAAATCGCGAAATTGTATTCATTTATCATTATGCAAAACAAACAAAGTGAATTTTAACTTTATTTTTGGGGCGTGGCAAGGGGGTTTTCATTTGCATTTGTTGACTTTGCTTAATTTACTTTGGGTTTGGGCATGCTAATCATGCTAATTCGTTAACAGCGCAGCGAAGGACAGTTGAAGAGGTTACTAAAAATATAAATAAAAGCTGGCATCTTCGCTTCTGATGGCTTATTTTACATGCAGATATATTGTGAATGGCTGAAACGCTATATAGGGAATATTAAATCGTATTTAAATTATTTAATTATCTAAACCAAAATATATTTGTGTATATTATATTTATTTTAATATGAAATATTTATTTATTTTTACGTGATTCACTTGCTATAAAAATATTTGACTCAGAACATTGTGACACAAATTTTTGCTTTTAAAATTGAATGAAAAAAAAATAAAAAAATAATTTAAAAATTGATCAAATTTATAAACTAATTGAAAATTTTATTGTTTTTTTTTTTTAAACTGTATTTTATTATTTTAATTCATGTTCAATTTTAAAATTTCAAAATTATTAATTATATTGTTTTTATTTATATTGTTTTTCACATGATTCGAAATTCTTAGCTTGCTTACATTTACTGCTCCCATTTAGTGCCCCATTAATTTTAAGCTATTTTCTAGTGTTCAATATTTATTCAACAAATATTCTACAGAGATTTTGTTTTTATTTATTAAGCACGGCATGATTAAATAATTAAACATGCGCTGATTTAGTTAAGTGAAGAAGCGATATTTTTGTTTACATATACAGCGACCTATTCTTCTTCTTCCTTCTCTGCAGTGTTCCAAAACTTATGTAAGTTCAATTCAATACAATTCGAAAACCAAATGCAGTTATAAAACTTGCACAAATTTTGATGCATTAAAAGGCAACAAAAAGCCAACGAGCCAAACTCTAAAATGCATTTTCATTAAAATTCAGTCACGCAACAACAGTAACAACAATAGCAACAAATAGATGCCTGTAAATGCATTCCGAGAAATTGTTGACCCCGAGGCGAGTCGCAAAATCGCGTGCCTCAACTATTTAGTGAGGTATTATACGAGAAAGGGGAGTTTCGGCTGCACGGTAGACACGCGGACTAGGTAGGCTCTGGCAGTGCAATCACCTTCAGGTTTTTAGTAGGTTAGCAGGACCTTTCATTGTTGCCATTGTTGTTGTTGCTGCTCTGTTATAAATTTGGAATGTTTACATTTTTCATGAGGTTTGTTCGCTTTGCTTTCTTTTTTTTTTTTTTTTTTTTGCAATTGTCGTAATGGGCACTACGAGCTTACAGTTCCGGTCGAATAACAACAGCTCGCAAATGCAAATGTACATTTGACTGCAAGATGCAGAGGGAGTAGAGGAGAGACATAGAGAGAGGGCTAGAGTATGATATAGAGCGAGAAAGGGGCAGAAAGCGACTGGACGGAAGAGACCTACTAAGAGCAGTTCATTGCTCCATTTGCACCGAAAAACAAAAACAAACTATGGCAATATTTTCAAATGAAGCGTCATAACAAAACTGAGCATGAAATATATATGCAGAGTATAGACTTAAAAATACCCTAGCTTATGTGCATTTAATATGAGGGTATTTTAATGCCACTTTAATGGTCGTCAACTCCATTGTTCTTGCAGAAAATTATGAAAAGAAGTTTAATCATATATGGTAAATAGTGCATGTGGAGTATATTGTCAGATATATACTCAGCAATTTTGATACAGAAACAGGTACAGATACAGAAATTGCTTGAGTATACCCAAGCATTATATGTATCATCAAATATTTTATTTTATTTTATCAAATATTTTATTATAAACAACTTAAAGTTGACTAAATGATATCATTTAGAAAGAGATAGCCTACATTTTATAAATATTGTCTGTAAAAAGTATCTTATCTATAAATATTTCAGCATAAAATAAATTTCTAGCCTTTTATTATAAATAGAATTCTTGGCATACTTTAAGGCTGTAAGATGCTATAATGTCTATATGGCGTATACAAAATAATATATTTCATATATCATATATATCTGTCATAAATATCTCATCTGCAGACTCGTTAGCCTTTCTGCCACATGCCACACAAAGTTGCAGCCACTTTGTGTTTTGCATTCATGTTGGAAATCATTTCATTTCAGTTTGTGCACAAATAACCGCAGGCAGGCTGTCTACAGGCCACGCTCGCTACAGTGGCTGCTGCTGCTGTTTGGCAATTCGCACATAATTAAATTCAAGCAGACACAACGAGCAGAAGACGAAGAAGCCGAGGCAAAACAATCATCAAATCAAATTGCAACTAATAAAGTTTTTGCTGTTGCGGCATTTGCCTTTGAAGTTGCAAGTTGCAACCATTTGCCAGACGCCGCTTGTTGCACTGTTGCACAGTTGCACTGGCAACGGAACTCAAGTCAATTGCAACTTGGCTATGTAATTAGGCCAAAATGGGCGTTCCATGCTTTTACTCTTTCCAAATGCAGAGTGCTTTTCAGGCCATGTTGACTAAGTGATGAAAGGGAGACTCCTTAACTATTTCGAAATTAGATAATTAGCATTTTGTTGTATTTTGCAGCACTGAAAAATAGAGTCGATTATTCATTTACACAGTCGATAACTCGATTTACACGGAAATTAAAATTATCGAGAACAAACTTTATTTAAGGACATAAAAGAGACTTGACTTATATATGATTTTCCTCTATTTCCATCTCAAATGAAGTTTATTATGTGACTGTCTCAGCGAGTGCAATCAATATTCGACTTATTCGACCATAATTGATATAAATTACGCTGAATTTTGCATAATTATTTTTTTCGCTATACGCTGCTTCTTTTTTTTTGCTTTTAATTTCGCAAGCGAAAATTGCATGGCTCGAACTATCCCGATCTACCGACTCTCTGTGTTTCATAAGAATTATGCAAAGAGACAAAGAAAAGCGTAGAAATATGTGCAAAATCGTTTTGATATCCTGTAAATAACTGGCGAGTAGTTAGGGTTTATTCAACGAGCAGTAGTAGACCTATGATGGAGTTTACTATAATTATGAGGAGAATATTTGTGGTCTGATCGTCCAAAAACCGGTCCAAAATCGATAAATATCGAACAGGTCCTCTGGCAATAAATCAGACATTTATATTTATTTTTTTTAGTAAATCATTTATAAAGCTTGAACATGATTTTGATATAAATATATGTAAAAGCAATCAATACAGGGTATTCTCTAGTCAATCACTCCCAACTAGACTCGTTTAATTTGCTTTCTTTTGCGTTTTTAGCCGCGTCGCCAAACTGTCTGCGTCTCTATGCGATATATTAGCCACGTCAACAGCTATAGCTGAACAGACAGAGAGGGCCCCCCTAGGGCAGCCCTAGAGGTCTCAATGGGGTCTATAGACTCTCCAAGTTCCGCTCAGGTCATAAGCGAACCATCTGAAACCCGATACCATAATGAACTTAAGCGCTCTGCAAATGTTTTCTGTTTTATATATATCGTTTTTCATTTTATTTTTGGACTTTTTGCTTGATTTTGGCTTTGTTTGTAGCGGCTAATGAAGCGCACACCATGTGCCAAGAGCTTTGGTTTATTTTTACCACCCGGCCGACATAAAACAAACCAACCAGCTCCCATCCCCTGCTGTTTTAGAGGGTGTAAAGAGAGAGCCTGTAGTCATGGGGTCGTTTTCTGTGTTGGCCAGGCGGCTCATTAGCTTGGCCAAATAAACGTCCAAGCAGAATGTGCTGCAAATTGTTTTTGCACTAAGTATATATATAAAGGTAGGTATATACATACATACTCATATATGCAGCTCTCGCTTTACACAAGTAACTGTATATAAACATTCGCCACGTGGCTAACAAAATGTAATTAATTTTTGTACTCAGTGCGAGCAAAGGGTCAACAAAAGAGATGGCCTCCAGAATGAAAGCTCGTGACTGTTGACTGTGAGGCACAAAGTTTAATTTATATCAAGCAGGAACTTTAATTAGCTCTTTGCGGTTATATAAGATGTTAGTAAATATAAGAAAGTACATTGTGGAAAAGCTGCCTAATAGAATCAATTATTTATTCTTTATATATTTTAGCAAGTAAAGCCATCTACCTCAATGAACATAAAGGCATTTAAGTTCTAAACAAAATTCGCTGAGCTCTAATCAAAATTCACTGAGGCTATTAAAAAAAATTAATTAAACATATTTCAACTATTAGCTTAACAATTAAATATGACCTTTAAGCGTATTTAATTATTCTTTTTTTTTTTAATCTGACATTCAATAATCAAAACCGCTTTTTGCAAGCGGCAAAGTTCAGCTTCGATTAATAAAAGTTTATAGAAATATAAGTAAGAAATGAATTTAGAATACATATAATTTCTTATACGTATTTGGTTATATAAGAATTCTTAAATTTGTATAAAAAATATGATTAATAAAAAATACAGTAATTAATCAAATTAATTGGCCTTAGGACCTTAGCTTCATTAAAATGCAAATGAGCGCAACCATATGCACCAAACTGAAGCTTTATTTGCGAGGAGTGCTTGAACTGTTTTGATTAGAAAAAACAATCAAATCATTAGAATAAATCCCATAACAACTAAATTAATATTCAAAGAGCTTAGATATATAAGAAAAGATTGCTTACATTTTATTTTCATGGATAATTTAAATAAATTCATCGAAACTCGAGACTCGCTTATACGAAACTACCAGTAAAACGTTTATGGATGAGGAATAAAATAATATGCTATATTCAATACTTTATTGAGCATAGAATAGAAAGCAAGATAAAGACTAAATACATTGACCTGATACTTAATCAAATGGAATTTACTTAATATCAAATACAGCTAGGAAATATTTGCTTCTATAGAGTTAAGGAAGGAAGAAACAGCACCAGAGAGGAAATTGGTTACACTCCTTAAGCAAATACCATTGCCGTAGATAGTATTAGACTATGAACATTATATATATATACAAAGAACTAAAAACATTTATATTAATATACAGTATACACAGTAACAGTTATTTACAAAGAATTTCCTGGAGCAATGGATCAAAGATATCCACAAGAAGTTTCCTAGCCCCACCCGCAGCGAATGCATTGTCGCTGCTATACTGTTAAATAATGGAATTGCAATGCAATAATAATGATAACAATGAAATTGCTTTGCTCGAAGCCGAGTCGCACGTGTCGCTAGTTAGTGAAAACTCAGATGATGAAAATCGCCCCGCGGGCCACGAACTATATCCACTCGGTGGGCATCCAGTGGAGGCAGAGCAGAGTTTGCTACATTTATTGGCAGTTTAACTGGCAGCCATTTAAATGCAATTTACGACGCCAGCCGATGTACATAAGTTGTATCTATTTCTACAGCTGTGTATCTGTATCTGTATCTGTATCTGTAAGCGTGTATCTGTTCACGCTGTGGAAATTAACGTTCCCTCTCATTCTGCTGTCTTGCTGTCCCTTTGTAAACAACGATTCGTGCCAGACAATGTGGCGTCGTAGTTGACTATTGTTGTTTTCTTTATATTGTCGCTGTCTTTGTACCCTGTAACTATTGAAAATCAATACATCAGGGGTCTGTAGCAGCTGCTCAGTTGTTTGTAACAGGTTGAAGCACAACTGGTTTAACTGCTTGCAAAATTGTGAGACAGAATAGGGATTTCTCTTTAGCAAAGAAATTGATTTTTATATAAATCGATAATTATCGATTTGTAAAATCTCTTTTCCTGTTCTTCTTATTCCGGAATATCGAACTAATTACAGACGACATAGTTTTTTTCTGAATACATTGTTTTCCTACACTTAGCCTTCTAACGATAAATTTTTATTATAACAACAATCGATAAAAAAAAAACGTTATCGTTTGTTGTCTGCAAAACTTGAGTTAAAGGAAATGTCATACTCTGGGATATTTGACCCTCTGGTAAATATTTATGGTTAGTTGCAAAGATTTGTTTATGCTTTTTCTTAGATCGATAATTATCGATTCAATGATTCTAGATCACTTTTCCTAACATTAAAACAATAGCCCTCAACTCGATGAGTTATTATAAGAAAGATCAAGCTGCTTTCCATTTTGAATAAACGTCTGCTCATTCTTTTTCCTCGCTCTACCTCCCTGTCGCTCATCCACTTCCACAATTTCAGAATGTCTTAGTTTTAAAAAATCTGCCCAAGCATCTACGTTTGTATATTTTTTCATTTATTTATCATATTGAATTGTTTATTTACGTCTCATCATTTCCTGATAATATAGGATATCTATCAGTCAAACTTCACTCATAAACATTCACCCTCTCTCTCTCTATCTCTCTCTCTCTCTCTGTTTGCTTTAATACCCAATGTAATCACATCGATTTGTTAGCTTACATCTTGTTCTTTTGTCTTGGCTTCACCCATTTCCTGGTCGTGGTTCCTTGTTTCTGCTATATTATAGTTCATTAACTGTCTGACTATATGACAATTGCAAAATCGCAAAATGTGGGTGTGCATTTAATGCTATGCAATACAAGCAGGGGATAGTCATCTAACGCTGGCAACTCCTAATTATACAAATTACAGCGCTTCGACGTGTTTTTCTTTGTTTATAAAAAGTGGTTTTACAAGTTTCGTCATCGTTTGAGAAATCTGAGCGTTGTTGACTTTGATTGATACTCAGGCGATTATAATTTTGATATATACTTTGATTACTATTATTATAGAGTTTGTGGACTTATGATAAGTCGTGTTGCAAAAGTTCACATTAACAAATGATTTATGTCAGAAAAAAAAAGTTGAGGTTTTATATTTTTTAGGTTAATTGTATAAAATTGATTGCTTGAAAACAAATTCTAAATCTGGCTTGTACTCTTTTGAGTCTATTAGATTTAATTTCATATAATTTCTATTGCAAAAATATTGCAAATTTTTAAGGTTTAATAATTACAATTGATTTATTGAATAATATTATTTTCAATAAACAGTTTCTAGTTTCCATTTAGATCAAATAATTGTCAGAAAAGTCAACTTTCTAGCAAATCAAATAGTCCCAATTAAATAATTAATGGGTTTTCACTTACCCACAGCCCAGGCTTATCATAAATCAAGTACATTTAAAAGAGTTCACATACCTGTAATGAAAGAGAGTATTGAAAAAATTACTAAAATATTTGTCAAGTATGTCAAAAAAATTTAAAAAAAAAGTGCAAAAAACAAGCAATTCAAATAGTTCAGTCGAGAGCCAAGTAATATACATATGTGTATATGTATGTAGGTATGTAATGTGTATTGCATGCAAAGTGCTCAAAAGTAAATGTTAGAACAATGACGAATATCGATAGGCAATAATTTGTCACGAACTCATGACAGCAGACGCCAAACAAAAAAGCTGATGACTCGACTCCAAGCGAACTGGATAAAAGTGGTTCGCGCCAAGTGGGCGACAGATAGAGAGTGAGAGAGAGACGCGGAGAATGAAAAAGCAAAGGCAAACACAAGCCACAAATGAAATAATACTAAAAAAATAAAACTTGAGCAAATTCTTCAAGCTGTTTTGGCGGCCTACAAGAGTCTCAGCCTCTTAGCCTCTCAGCTGGCAAACAATGGGAAAGCGAGCCAAAAATAACCTCAAGATATGAAACGAGTGCAGAGCTCTGACTCCGCTCTCCAGTCTCCGGTCTCCGGTCGCCGGTTGCCAGTCAGCGCAGACTCAGCCGCAGATAAATCGCTTGGCCAAGGTAAACAAATTCTTATGTATCTTTTTTTTTGTGTTGTTTTGCTTAGTGTTTCAGGTATTTACCCTTGCAGTGGGCTTAAATGATTTGTTACAACGTTTGCCATTTGACTGCCAAATGACAAGTGATGAGATTTTGCTTGGATCTGTACATTAGTTGAATAACAGTTATAGTTAACTTGATATACTGAGAACAAGTGAGAGAGGAGAGTCAACTGAAAAATGGAATTGATAGGAAAAATGTGCAAGAGAGAGAGGAGACAGTAAGCAGAGAGAGAGAGAGAGAGAGAGACAGAGCGAGAGAGCGATCCAGAAAGTCAGAGAGAGAGAGAGAGAGAAAGAGAGAGAGAGAGAGACAGAGAGAGACAGAGCGAGAGAGCGATCCAGAAAGTCAGAGAGAGAGAGAGAGAGAGAGAGAGAGAGAGAGAGAGAGAGAGAGAGAGAGCGAGCCAGAAAGTCAGAGAGAGAGAGAGGGAGTCAGAGATGGAAAGGCAATTGAAGAAAGGAATTGGCAGGAAATGTGTGAGAGAGAGGAGATAGTAAACAGAGAGAGACAAACAGAAACAAACTGAGGCAGAGATCACCGAGCAACAATAAGAAATGCTTGCAGAAAATCTCTATTTAAATATTTACATACGAATGCTATGGAGCATTTCAATTGTAAATATTTTTCCTTAGACATTTTCAAGTGAAGTTTCCACTTAGAGTATTGCCCACATCGCTATATTAACAACATTTATGCTTTGCTCTTGTTTTTGCCTTTCTTTCATTTTTTTTTTTCGCTTCTTTTATTTTTTTTTTTTTTTTGGTACTTTTTGTCAGTGAAGAAGTTTACGACGTTTTGTTCGACAGTCAAACAAGTTCCAGAATTGTGGAGAGAGATGAAGAAAGAGGGAGAGAGAGAGAGGCGGAGAGTAAAGGTAGTGGTAGAGAGAGAGGCGTCTCCCCTCTCATTACGAGCAAACCAAGTCTCGGAGCAGATGCTCGTAATTGTTATTTGTTATACTTGTGTATTTTTTTTTTTTAGTATTTTTTGTGGTTTTCTTTTCTTTTGTTGCTGTTGTTGTTGCGTCGCTCTCATTGAATATTATTTTTGGCATGTTTTTAAGGTTTGTGGCTCTTTTTTTTTTTTTTTTTTTTTTTGTGCTGTGCTTTGGTGGGCTCCAAAAATAAACGCTGACATCATCGAAGCAGCCAAAACGTCGACAATGAAACGCAGCTCACTTATGGGCAGCCACTCGACTACCCCCTGTTGGGGGTTGAGGCGGGTGCAAGGGTGGGGCGGGGAGGGTAGGACAGGCGACACGAAACAAACAAAATGTTTCGCCTTTATGTTTGTTTCGCCTTTGTGTGCCTCTGCCTGCACTTCGCAACCTTTTCTCTCCCAAGTTTGTCCCCCCTAAACATTCCAGAATTCTCTGTTTCTCCCGATTTTTGTTTTGTTTTTTGTTTGTGCTCCCCTAAAAATGCATTCGAACATTTTTGTTGTTGTGCTTTTTAACCTTGAACTTGGCCAGCGACTCGCAACTGCATTTGGCTGCTTGTTGCTGCTGCTGCAGAGGACTTCCAAAACAAGAAACAAATTATATGCAGATCCCTTTTTTTTTTGGGGGGGAACTTTGAAGTTTTTTCTTTTTTAATTTTTATTATCATCTGCTGATTGCAGTTGCCTGTGCAGCAATAAAATAAAAATTTATGCTTTGATTTTGTGCGGGCAGACTGTACCTTGCATAAGGAATTTGATTTGAGTTTTGATAAGGGTTAAAATTGCCAACAATTAATTAAAGAAAGGATTAACGTTAAATGTACTTCAGTGGGATTATGGACAAAGTTGTGCCTAATTAACTATTTGGCTTAACCCTTAAGTAGAAATGAAGATATTTTTATGAGCTGCAATGTAGATACGCATATCTAAGTCTCTCTTCGATATCAACCATTAAGCAAAACACAAATCTTTTACACCATTTGCACGTTTCCAGCCACTGTCCACACAGAAATTTTCCCACTTTTCCACAAGATAAAACTCAATTGCGACATATTTTTGTTTAATTTGTTGCGCATTCCAGAACCGTAAAGAACCGTTTCCACCACCTTGTTCTCCGCCTCCTCCTGCAGATAAACCAACCGAAACCAAATCGCTAATAAAAATTAGTACAATGCAGGGGAGTTCTGTGAAGAGTGGGTAAGGGGAAAGCTTTATGAGCTTCCCCCATTGAGCTTATCAAGGGAAAACTGTTGTTCTTGCATTCCGATCGGGGTGGTTGTCTTTGGGGGGACCACCAAGAGCCCTTGAATAGCGCCTGGGGGACTCATTTGGCCCCAACTAATGCGCAATTCCTTGGTCAAAAATGAAGGAAAGAAAACAGAATAAAAAAAACTGCGTAATATTTATTATACCTACATGCATGAGCATATACACATATAAAAATTGCTTTTTTATTACGAATCATCATCAAATGCCATCATCAGCGCCAAGGCGTTATACAATATCACAACTGAGTTAGCTTTGAGTGAAAGTGAACGACTGAGAGATACCCTACAGGGTATATACTTTTCCATACTACAGTATAAAAGTGTTTTTTTTTTTTCTCGAAACAGCTATAAGCTGTAAGGCTTGAAATTTGCCATATAGACACAGATTTCAAAATCGATAATTATCGAAAATTGTACATATTGGAAGGGGTTAAGAATTTATTATATAAAAATTCTTGCACAGCTGGCTTCTTGAATTTTTATTTTTAAAATACTTATTTTAAGCCATGTATAAAAAGTGTCAGAGTGACCAAAGATCGATAATTATCGAAATTATGAAAATGAAGATGTTTGAAAAATATATGCGAAATTTGAATAACCTAATGAGATATTCCATATTTCACATTTGTAAAATAGATCAGTGATGCGAGCTCCAATACCGATAAATTAATGTCTCGCTCACTCTGATCAATATAGATCAATATATATCTCTCTCTTGCATGTAACATACCTTGGTATGATTGCAGCACTGCCATTATTTGGTGTTAACCTTCGAAATGGGTATTAAGAGCAGCCAAAAAGAAATGAGAAACGCAAAAATAAAACCCAAAGAAAAGTCCAAGTTTAGAAATGACATCATTCCTTGGCCGGCAGCAGGTCGTGGCGTTTAAACGCACTACAAACACTCGCATACACACACATACGCACACACAGACACGCACACACATACGCACTCGTAACTCTTTTGGCTGTTGCAAGAAATTGAAAAGCAGAGCCCAAATGAACTCGCAGCTGAAAGCCCCAACGCAGGTCCTAAGCTAAAATTTATAATGGACCTGACATGAGTTTTAAATGCGCAAAGGTTGATTGAATAGAGTTTCGGGGCAAATTTCGTTGAAAGGCAGTCAGTCAGGACAGAGAAGGCCAGCGCTCTCCGGTTTTGTAATTAAAAAGAAGGAAAATAAAAAATAATAAAAGGGCTTCTTCGCATCGTGCAAATAAATTGCGTCTTGCGGCCCTGGGCGAGAATTGCGAACTTGAATCATGACAAATGACGCATCATCTGTTTTTCTGCGCTTAAGACCGGAAATTTGCAACGAAGACAGCTATAGAAAAAATATGATAAATATTAAGTAAAATCCATTTCCTAGGGCCACATCAAACAACTGCAGTTGAAGCTTAGCGGAAGGAAGTTGCAACTTTGTCTGTAATGCTCTCAAGTGAACAAAGTTGTTGAGAGGTCTGACAAAGCATTTTTGTTACTCTGTCCAGCTGGATATTGGGTAGTTAACAACTTCAGTATAATTATATATGAATGATAATTTCATATATTTTATGAAAAAAGTGTTATTAAAAAGATATTTTAAAAATATTTGAAATATCTGAAGTAAGCCTTGCTTTTATTTTATTAGCATGAAAAACAATCTGAATTTAGTCTAAACAATTTATGTATTATATCATATGTATAATATCATATATTTTATTTATTTATTTATATATAATTAAACTAATGTATATCCCATATATATATACTTATATATTGCCTATATCAGTACGAATTACTCACTTTAATTGTCAGAAAATACGATCTTTTTTGTGGCAACTATTTGTTCTTTTGACTCGTATCAAATCTCGCTTTATTGTAATCCCTAAACTTACACAATTTTAAATCACTGACTGAATCATACATTTTAAATTATTCTGGAATTATTTTAGCTAGACGCTCACCCAACCAATTATCCAATTATACATTGCTCAGATACTCTACATACATTAGTTGGAATTTTATACATCAATTTAGTTGTTTGACAAGAGTCAAAGAGTCAGCCCCATGAATCATAAAATTGATCTAAGCTATGCATTAATTATTTATAGCTTACCAATAAAATTAGTATAAGAAATCGTATCGTATGTCATGCCAAAACA